ACTATTGATTTCTATCACTTTGAAAGCTAACTTTCCTTCCAAATTACAAAAAGTTTCGAATACTACTATCGATATTTGCAAGGTTATAAATAAATATGGGCGTTTATGTACCGTCAGCTGTAATAAAGATATTGTTGTTAAGCTCTCCCTTATCCTGTATCCAGTTATGCATCATTATAATTTCCTGTGTGTGCCATCTGTGAGTATGAAACAAATATTATTGTGCCCTGTCTCTTGCATCGGTGTGTAGGGAGCGTGTATACCTCTTGCGGTAGCTTGCAGGCGTTCTTTTCCCGTGAGTCAAATCCCGAAAACACTATGTTTTCCTGTGTGACGTGTATGGCAAATCGATACGAAAAAAGAAATAGTTTCACAACTTTCGCCGATGTTGACACCGTGAACTCTTTGGAGTAAGTGCAGTCTCGAGTAAGTAAAGAGAGTGCTTTCCCTTTCAACTCAACAATAAAATGGCGGAGATGACTTTTTTTTTTGGGGGGGGTCTTTTCATGGGAGGGGCTGGGGGTTGCTGCGTTTTGGGGTTTGAGTACAAGGAACATTTCCATGTTTGGGGGACAATTTGGAAACTTGGAAAGAGGAGGGGGGCGGCTTCCTTTTTAAGCTAAGGGGATTTTCGATTGGTACAATCACTTGCTTTTCCACCTAAAATAAATATCATCAGGCTTTGATAACAGCACAAAAAAGTGACGGTTTTGAAAAGGAATTTTGCTCCGTTTGTCTCTGGTTGGTAGCTTTGGCTCCTCCTGGGAGGATACTTCTGTATAGTTCCCCTCCAAATCTGTTTTGAATGAGTGCGACGAAGGGAGATACCTTTAATAATAAGCACACAAAAAAGATCCAGGAATGTCCTATCCTGACATTTGCGAAGCGAAACGTGTCAGTAACGGAGAGGAAAGCGATATACTGAGGACATACATAGCCACGCCTGTTTGACCTACAAAAGCACCCTTATCTCTTGAAGTTCGAGATAAAACGGGTTGGAACTTTTCATGCAGTTAGTAAAATGGTATTCAAATGCACAATACGCTTGAATCTATCATGTATTTATGGTTCTACCTTGAAAAAGCCGGTGGACAAACATTTCTACAATTTTTTTAAAGTCCCACATGGGTATATGTGTGTGCGTGTGTGTGTGTGTGTGTGTGTGTGTGTGTGTGTGTA